ATGAGGACACAAATTTGTATAATGACATGGGTATGACATAGGTATTACAACAAGAAGGTTATTTATGAGGACATTTTGAGTGTCCCCGTAATTTAAAAGGCTCATAAATCATTCAGAATGAGTTTTTTTGAAAATCTAAAAATGCACAAAGTTTCCTGTGAGGAGTAGGTTTAGGGGTAGGGTAGGTGTAGGGCAATAGAAAATACGGTTTGAACAGTATAAAAACCATTACGCCTATGGAGAGTCCCCATAAACCATAAAAACCAACGTGTGTGTGTGTGTGTGTGTGTGTGTGTGAGTATATTTTAAGTTTATTTATGTATACTTTTGTGTTATTCTACACTGGCATTTCTTTACAGAAAACTAGTTAAGCTGCCAACTTTCTCTCTTCTAATTGCCACAATCCATCTGACTCTATTTTTGCCTCTTTTGGATTGTCATGGAAATGCAATATTGATTTTTCTTTTGCTGCTGAAGCAAAGGGATCATGCAAAACATTATTTGCAATGGTTTCCCTTTCACAGTACTTTATCCTACTTACTTCTGAACTGTTTTTGTGATTTTTTTATTAAGTGAATGTATAAATGAAATTGCTGGGAAAGTGCTTGAATTTCACTCTTAAAACTCTCCGAAGCCTGTCGGTTGGATGGGTTTGTATGTGTTGTGTGGGTAGAACTGTGCTCTCTCACTGATAGATACGGTTTTGTCTTGGTCAACAAAGGTCTCAATGTCTGTGTGGTAGGCTACTGAAGGCCAGCTGAGCATGTCCTCAGCGTAAGCCTGCTCATCTGAGAAAGGCTGTTTTTATCCAACACAGGGACATTCATTAGGACATGATCCAAATTAGCATTACTACAACTCCATCAGGTTCTTTTCACATTTCACAACTCATTTTCACTTTGCAAGCACATGAGGCATGTAATATGGCAATAAAATGGCTAATAATGAAGGGAAGATTTTGAATAAATTTGTGGATCCTATCGTGTAAAGCTGTTGAGATGAATGACTCCTGAACCTCCAAGCCAGTCTTGTGCATTGAACAGAGGCCAGCTGATACGCTTTGCACTCCCCTGACCTCAAGACGCATGTTAGCACCTGATGCTAACTCACAGTGTGTGTGCACTAAGTCGTATGAGTTAAATGCAGAGGACAAATTCTGAGTTTGGGTTACCAGACTTGGCCTTCACGTCACTTCACTTCATTCCATCCTATGAAGTCTAAACCGTAAGCAGCTATTTTATGACACGATAAATTGATAATCATCCCATTCAAGCCTCCTTCAATTGCATAGCCTGTATCAATTGCAAAAGGAAAATAGTGTTAATTATGAGTTCTGTTAACAACCTAATATGTACTTCTTCCTACCTGAAACTGAAAAACATCCCAAGAAAGATTCAGGCTGATTTCCTCAGATGGTGCAGTTTGTTGATTCAAAACAAATCAAATGAACAACTGTGTTAATTATAAGTTCTTCTACTGACAACCTAAAAATAGGTATTTATTCTTACCTGAAATTGAAAATCATCCCATGAAAGATTCAGGTCGATTTCCAGCCTCCACGTTCATCCAAATGTTGCAAAAATATTGTTAATTTTGAATCATATTAAGTGTACAACCTACAGCCATTTCAAAATCACAATTGCTGGTTTTACGTCTACAGCATACAACAATTTCTAACATTAAACATTAAAGTGCATATTCACAATATCTCACCTTGCATACTTTTATATCTTACATGTAAGGTGTGGATTTCCCTCATGTTGTTTCTGTGATTACCAGACATATGGAATGGACAAAATCTGCACTTTTCAACAAACTGAGAAAAGACCATCATACAGCTTTTGGGGATATACCAGCAATAACAATCTGACTCTGAGTCCAAGGCTAATGCAATGTTTTAGGAGGAGTTTTGGGTTTGTTTCTGTATGATTTCTCTGCTCAGCTTTAGGACAGCTCACCTCTTCAGTGTCCAGCACAAGCAGTTCTGTGTTTTCTGTGACATCATTCATGATCGAAAAAGCCGTTTTCAAAAGACTACAGAGGGATTTAATGGGACAAAGTTATATGTTTGTCTAAATGTGTTCCTCAAAAGAGCCAGCAGATGGCAATGTTAACCGTGTGGTTAATCTTACATCACTTATTACATCCACAGATAGCACTGTCCCAGATGTACACAGGCTTTCTATATATATATATATAATTTCAATTAAAAAATAAAGGCCTGCAACCCACCACTTGATATTATAGAATGTAGCCATTCAAATTGCATACTTTCTCATACAAACCTATCAAGGCTTTAAAAGGCTTGAAATATAGCACACAAGTTTTATGAAATTATGATTATCTTTACTGCCATTTTGGAGCTCAGCGGAGCCCCTTTCACTTTCATTTAATGGAAAAGTATATAGCCAGTACAAAGAACAAAATCATACGGTTTGGGAATAACATGATGCATAATAAATTATAGAAGAAAAAAAAAAGAAAAAATGATATATATATACAGTGGTGTGAAAAAGTGTCGGCCCCCTTCCTGAGTTCTTATTTTTTTGCATGTTTGTCACACTTTAATGTTTCAGATCATCAAACAAATTTAAATATTAGTCAAAGATAACACAAGTAAACACAACATGCAGTTTTTAAATGAAGATTTTTATTATTAAGGGAAAACAAAATCCAAAACTACATGGCCCTGTGTGAAGAAGTGTTTGCCCCCCTGTTAAAACTGTGGTTTATCACACCTGAGTTCAATTTCTCTAGCCACACCCAGGCCTGATTACTGCCACACCTGTTCGCAATCAAGAAATCTCTTAAATAGGACCTGCTATTGGGGTAAAGTATTTATTTATTTAATTATTTTAATTGGCTTTAATATATTTGATAATTGAGAGTGATGGAGAAGAAATGTGATTGGGACACACATGTACCTGACAAAAAAAAACATGATATAGCCTACTTGTGGTGTTTTTAACTCACTACTTGTGGCAAATTATACCTATAAAAAAAAAAATGTAAGAACAATATTAATTGTGATTAACATTTTTTTTTTTTTTTACTAATAGTTTTGTATTGCAGGTTTATTCTACTGTTAAAGGAATAGTTCACCCAAAAATGAAAATTTGCTGAAAATATTATCACTCAGGCTATCCTGAGAAACATATGAGAAACAAATCTACCAGTACGGTGTTTTAACTTTAAACTGTCGCTTCTGGTCAAAATACCAGTCCATAATCCATAATAACGCTTCCTCCAGTGCAAATGTCCATTTCCTGTTATCTTTGAACATCAAAATTCACGAACATATTCGTTTAGAACTGTCTTGGGCTCTTTTCGCTTGTAAACGCTGATGGGCATATTTCTCTCCTGATTCAGATGAGACGGCTTTTCACTGAAAAAGGCAATATTTTGGATAGAGTATTTTAACTGGACGCAACGCTTTAAAGTTAAAAACGTCTTAAAGATTAATTTGTTTATTACAAACATGCAGTTCATGCACGACATTAATTGATGGACTGAAGTGGTGTGGATTACTTGTGGATTAGTGTGATGTTTTTATCAGCTGTTTGGACTCTCATTCTGACGGCACCCATTTACTGTAGAGGATCCATTGGTGATTGAA